CGTACGAAAGTAAGTAAGTAAGCAGTGCTGAGTGCTCTCAGCCCAGGTAACTACAGCGCTTCAGTGGACAGCTTTTTGAAATGTACAGATAAACACATATTCACACACTAATTACCATAGGAATAGGTTGGACAAAAGGTAGGAGCGGCCAGAAATCCATGAACTTTTTAATTCTACATCACTTTATCTTTCTAAGTCTGTTTCACTAGATTCTACTTCTTGAATAATATATTCCAATCCTAACCTCTCTGACTACTGCTAATACCTTTACTACCTCTACTCTTATTGGATTTGAATTGACAATTACAACTCTGTGCTAATGTGGTATGACAACATGAACTGATGTACGTACGTAAGAAGTTCTACGTCGCTACTGATTGATTTGATTGATTGATTGAGAAGGTGAATACTGTCAAATGGTGGTGAATTTCCCAGGCGCACAGGTTTTAGTCTTTTCTAATACTAAGTCAGGAGTAAGTCGGATATTCCATAGGATGTCAGCTGATATTATGTTTGAATAGTATTCTACATGAGTAGGTACATGGTTCAACTGATTGGTGAAGTTTGCGTTAAAGATCTCGACCATCTCGTCCAGCCTGATTGTTTCATTCATGGCCGTGTCAAACGTGACTGCACCATGGTCACCACTTCCTATTGGCTTAGGTCTTTTGCCATGAGTTGCTGATCGAAACAAACCGTTATTACTGTGCACTTATTATCTCCCTCGCTAACACTTCATTTGAGTGCCTAGACTACCATAATTAAATACCTGGGACCTTAGTCAAATAACAAGTATCGAGCACAAAAAATCAGTCGATTTATGTTTGCTCGTAGATAGGATTCCCAATTGTATATTGGATTTATACCGGGCTTCCTAATGCTAACGTTACGTTTAGGCATTGTGCTTTGCACCTTCGTAATCTGTTTCCGTAATGATATGTTTTTCGAAACAGGCGACTCATGACTAGATAAATAGAAGTGGTTATGAACATTTTGCCTGCTAACAGGCTACTTTTTCAGTTTTTCTAAATGAAGATTTCCTCGGAACTTTATTTTAGGATATAATTTCTGCCATTAGGTAGATTGAAGTATGTACTGTCTAAATCCTCCTACGTAAAAGTTAAGCGTAAGTTAGCACGGATTCTCGCATCAATAACCATGTAACTCAAATGTGTAGATGAAATACTGGTATTGATTATCATTTCGTCATACTTCTGAATGGTTAGACGTTTGATTTTTGTTAAGTGACCAACGATTTAGTTCTCAGCTTATTAAAGAATTTGGAGTAACTTTTTTTATCTTGGCTTAAAAAAATTACTGATACTTCTGAAGTGGCGTTAAACACATTCCTCTTCAGCCTAACTCTTGAGAAAGCATGTTTAGCTCATAATTTTCAACTAGTCTTCCCACTTGAGAGTTAAAACTAAATTTCCTCTACTGGAAGTAATCTAAACAGTGGTAATTGGGCAGCATTTCCTAGTGACTTAGGTATTCTTCATATCATCTAACTAAACCACACCCTACCTTTATTGTTCTTGTTTAATGGCTTATGTGGTAAGACGAAACCCTGTCTCCCGGCTTTAGGGGAAGTCCGGTCAACTCTGGGGAAGCCGCATTCGAAGAATTTCGGGGCGATTCATTCTTTTGCGTTGAGATTATCCCAAAGTTTATGATCGTTTTGGAGGAAACCAAAAAGGTGTCTCAGATGTTTCGCGCAAATCATATTTCTTAAATTGATTACTACCCAGCTTTTTACTAATTTATAGATCTTGTCTTATATTTCTGCATTTGTTTGCCCACATTTAAATACACGTTAACTAACCTGGCTTGCATGAACTTTCTTTAGGGAATTAACTGAGCGGTGCTTGTAGGACAATAGCATGTAAACATTTTCAATGTCAGACGTTTTTCTTACCATAGCAACTATTAAAGGACATTTGTTATGAAAGAGATTGTATACCAGAATACAGGTATACTTCTAGGGATTATTTTATTATATTCATTTAATTTAAGTCGCAGTTGTTGGAGTCCCAGTAGTTCTTATCAAGCGTTGTGCAAGAGAAAAATTGTTATCTATTTCATGGACTTAATATCAAAACTTTGATGTTAATAGTAATCAAACGACTGCCTAATGTAATAACAGTGCTTAAACATTCAGATGCTCATTTCCAGATCCAATAATCATATGTTAAATATACATAGTATTTAAATATACTGTTGAAAGGAGTTTATAGAAAATTTCCTGAAATAACAGCCTAGTTTTTCCGATAGTGTGAACTGTTGAAATCATATAATAAGTGACTCAATATTTTTCAATTCTTTGTGTTCTGACCAAGTAAATTCCTCATATTCATTCATTAATGCCAGAGAGCAGTTGAGCTGTTTTATAAAAATAACGTTGTGTTAACATTATGTAATGATCCCTTCTCTATTACGGTTTCATGTTATTTTTGTACAACGTATAAATCGACCCAATTTTCATAAAAGATGACTGCAATAACTCTACATCTATTACAAAACTGTGAAAATCCAGAGTAATGGCTGCAGACGAATAATCCGTTTAGGAATTCAGACGAGGCATATGTAGTTTGCGGATCGCTAGAATAAATTCCGAAACGGAACACTTGTTTTCCACATGTAGTCTCAAAGTTATTGACAGTGAATAAGTTGGTTACTAAGATCTTGAATCTAAAACCAGCGTCTGACACGTTCATTCTTATAATGATGTGCAACGCTAGTATGTATGCAATCAATTTAGAAAATGAAAATTTTAGTCATATTAAAACATGAATCCACGTGAGAGCTGACTGATGGTGTAAGTGTATCGAGTGATTAACCTCCCTTAATGATACAGTTCGGAGTACAGTAATCAAGATAAGTCAGCTGAATCTGTAGCGTTTGGTTATTCATTTTGAGTTCACCATCCTCTGTGTATATCCTTGTTTATTCTAATCTCCCCATTCTTGTTTTTATTTTACAACGTATATCTATGTTCTCAATTTATTATTTCAGAATGAGCAATAATGGAGAGTGCCATTTGGTCTTTTTGTGTCCCAGTCTATCCCATAAATTTCACACAATTGACTCGTTCTTTACTTCAGTATGTTACTTCGTATGTCAATAAGTTTATCCCTGACCTAAAAGGTATCCTTGTGGATTATGATGCTAAAAGTCTGCAAATAATAACTGAAGTTGATTATTCTGATCGCAATGTTCCTGCCGGTTTCACTTGTGGTCTTTTCCTGATCCATCCAGAGTTGAATCATCTTCGTGTACATGGAAAAATAAAAGTCAATGTTTTTCGTCCATATTTGGGTTTGGAAGTAGATGCTATTGTCTCAATGGTCAGACCACAATTTGTTCTTTGTCGTACAGAAATTTCTAACGTCATGATTAGTCTCCCACGTTTATCTTTTGAGTCAGTTAAAAAAGAAGAATCCAGTCAATCCATGTTGAAACCATTTGACAAAATAAAAGTTAAATTGACACAAATCGATAGTAATTTTGGCTCATCAGTTTTACAAGGTGAATTTATGGAATGTCTTTCGAAACCCTCATCAAAACATTCCAAGAAACAGCATAAGCGTCAAAAAAATTCTTCTGACAATGACCTAAATGATATGAAACCAATCCTAAAACTGTCCGATGACACCACTAGTCATCAAACTACTCCGTCAGTTCATGAAAATCCTTCTGATGCAGTCGATTTCCTGATTAGTTCTCCTAACCACGGAGCACCAAAATTAAAAAAACAGAAGATTCGAAAAGTTGAGGAATCATTACAAGAAGCTGAAGTTGTTGGTGATTGTAATGAAAAGTTGTTCACTCATAAAGAATCTCCAGCTAGTCCAAAGAAAAGGTTACGAAAGGAAAACTCATCTGCTTCTAAAGTACCAAAAACGAAGAGCAATCCAGACTCACAAGAGATTTTTCCTGTTTTATTAAATGATGCTCTGTTGAAATGTGGCACGAAATACAAATCAAACCATGATTTATTATCTTCTGTAACTATAAAAGATGAACCAACTTGATCTTTGCTCAATAATTTTGCTGTATATGTGTACACATATAGTTACTCCTTCTGGTATTTGCCCCTCATAATGTATAAATGAGTGATTACGCTTGGAGTTTTGTTGAGTTCTTAAATGAATTTTTAAGATTATTATATACCACAGTTTCATTGATGATGAAATATTGCGGAATGCTGATATTTTATGAACTCTATTTTTTCTAACATTTACAGATAAATCTGCTTCTGCTTACCACAGTTCGTATGATGTCCTTTATATGAGTAAAAACTAAGTGATCACCAGAAATGTTTTAGAGCTCTCGCATTGTATCAACGACTTCTTGAGGTTTATTACTACGTATGATCCACACTGACTGTCTAAAAGGTTTAAATAACTACCATTTATAGTCTAATGCATGTTAATTGTCTCTCTAGATATATTTCTCTATTTTAGTCATCATGAATTGGTATTTTTTGTTTAATATCTTCAAATCCTACTAAGAGATCGTCAATGACCAATTAGTTTAAGCGAAATTGGTTGTATTTACTGGCTAGCAGCAGTTGGTAGCTATTCGTATCATACTATTCTTTTTGGTGACAAAATGCAGAATCTTTTGACCACCTTAAGCAACAATACAAGCATGTTCGGGATGCGATTCTTCCCCTCGAAATACAGAATTTTGCTTCACCATTACCTTGTGTCGGAACCTGAACTAGTGATAGGGAGTGAAGTAGTTGAACGTGTTGACCGCTTTACTTATCTTGGGAGTCTCATCAGTGCTGATGGCCTGGTGACTGACGAAATCCCAACACAGATACGGAAGCCAATATTGGCTTTCGCCAACCTGCGGCACTTGTGGCGAAGGTGAGATATCCGTTTACTGACCAAAGGACGGGTGTACTGCGCAGTAGTTCGCTCCGTCCTACTTTATGGCTGTTAAACATGACCAGTCAGAGTAGATATTCGTAGGTTAATAGTATTCGATCACAGATGCCTTCGAAGCATTGCTTGTGCATCGTGGGGCAACCGAGTAATCAGTGCTGCCATTAGGAAGCGGGTACTAGGTAAGGATGGCAGATCAATTGATGAAGTATTGAAACTTCATCGGTTGAGGTGGTTGGGACATGTGTTACGTATGCCTAACCACTGACTACCTCGAACTATGTTTTGTGGTGTAGGATTGGGTTGGAAGAAAGCTAGGGGAGGCCAAACCAAAACACGGCAGAAATCCATGAAGTCACTGACGAGTGGACTGAGTGATGTTGGTAGATGTAGGCTACCTGGTTGGGGTCCGCGAGACAATTGTAACCGATGGTTAGAGACCTTGAATGATGCCCCATTACCACTAATACTTCTACAACGTATACTACAACGAGATTTGAATTGACAATTAAATATCTATTTGCCGATGTGGTATAGCAACTGGAACTGATATACGCACGAAATTCTACGTTGTAGCTAACTGATTGACTACTGAATAGCTCATAACTGTAAGCTTAATGGGTAATGTCATACTCTAATAATTGTTCAACTAGTTTTGTATAAATAGAATCTTTGTAATGTATGCATCGATAGAAGTACATGTAAACTTTCCATTTTTAATTTTTCCTGAATTAATTTGGAAATAGTTTTATGCTCACTGAAACCAAGATTCTAAATAAACGTTCCAAAGAGTATTGATTTTCAAGAGATCTTTGAACATACGGTGGAGATATTATTCATTAATTAATGTAGAAGAGTTAATCCCATAACTTCTAAATATCAGCAATACTTTAACCAAAAAGTGCGTTTTAACTCCGTATATTACGGAGTTTTAGTTGCATCCACCCAGAAGATGACTAAACAAACGGAGTTATGAATATCTTGTACCAATCTTTTAATTGCAAGTCACACTAGGAGTGAAGTGCATTGTCTCTTAAACAATGCCAGTGAGAATTGGTCAACTTCAAACAGGAACTGCCAAAAGAAATATGACCAAAATATTAGTGATAACGAGAAAGTGGCCTAATATGGTACTATTGGAATCGCTAACCTTCAAATTTCATATACTGCTTTGGACTTAATAATGTACAGGTATTAGAAGGTTTAAATATAAAAAAATTGGTTCTACAATCTATACTAATGTACCAAATGATAGAAATTTCTGGTTAGTTGACAACAATAAAAGATGATTAAGTTGGTTAGTCTGTAATTCAGTCACAAAAACGGACTGGATTTTACTGTCCCATAGCGTCCCAAACTTCTTGATCGCATTTTACGAGAATTTCAATATACTGATTAGGATACAGTAGAGTAATTTCCCATAAAGTGTGCTTGAGATTACGAGGGGATTGAAAATACATATGTTAGGTTATTAAAAATTGTCTAAATAATTCAATCTTGTTATTTTTTAAAACTTGATACCTTTCTGGCGAGTCACTCTATGAATAAACCAATTTACCTATTTGTAACGTTATTTCTAAACAACATCTGTTGTGTAGTTGAGGATAGATTTATCTGGCAAATGTAGTGTGAGGCTGATGTCACGATTTACAAAAGAACCTGGGTTCCAGTGGCATTCTGTAAGTTAACGCTTAAACAATTGAGATACTGTTCACTAAGCAAGTAGAGATGACAGTTAACTATACATGTATTTTTGTGATTCTGTAGTTCATACATTTGATCTCCGACCATGTAGTAAATTTATCCAACATTTAACGAACTAGTCTTTTAGTCTGATTAATGAATTTATAGTTGGTTACTGGATTACTACAAAGCTAATTGACTTTCACTATTTGTGCGACTACTAGAGCTCTGTGATCTGTTTTAATGCGTAAATCGCAGATAGCTGGTAGCTGAGGTTTTGACCATTTTAGATTCTTTATCATAATACCACTCATGACTACCTTCTTAATTCGATTACCACAGAGGAACTAAATTGATTATTTTATTGAACTTCATGAAATGATTAAGATTATTCCACAAGCTAAGTATTTCAATGTTGGCGAGTTTCTTTTATAATGATACAAAATGGATGAGTTGATTTTGTTTCGATACAAAATTTAGTCTGAGATTAGTTTCGATGTATATGATCAGTGCGAAGTGGTGTTGATAAAGTATTTAAAATTTTAACTGGAACTGTTCAACATCTATTTTCCAAAATAAAGTGATTTAGTAATAATTTTTAAGCAAATATTAAATACTTTATCAATCAAATACGATGTTTCGGAGTAGACTCGATTGGAATTTTCGACATTTTACATGGTAACTATCAGAAACTCATATTTGTTTGAGTGGTTTTGTAAAGGTCAGTTTCATTTGTGAGTAATATTTGTCATAAACGTAATTCTGAAATCATGAGTCCGTCAATGTTAGACCACCATTAGAAACCTGGAAGCATTGGACGGCCGTTTCTATCCTGGTATGTGACTCGTCAGCAGTGAGCATCCACAACTCCAACTACTCGCAGAAACTGGACCCAAGACCTCATGTCTTGCACGCGAACGCTTGACCTCTGGACCACTGAGCCGGCATTCAGCAGTGTCTAACTCCAATCAATCCATAGTCTTGCGCAACTTCATCCACTGTGTGGTTTCGAATGCTGTGAGTACCTTTAGTTGTGGGTGCGCACTACCGATAAGTCCTATACCAGGACGAATCCGCCATCCATTGTGTCCATGTTTTTTAATGGTGGTCTAACATTGGCGGATTTATGATTTCAAAGTAACTTAACAATCTCCACAACACCCTATAATCTTATTAGATTTTTTTGTCCTCGGAAGAGTAAATTATTTTGATTGTATTCAATAAATTTTGCGGATAAACTTCGTATACAAGTAAAAGTTAAAGAGAAGAGAAAGGATCCGTTTTATAAGTTAAAACAGTGTTCATATTGTGATTTTGTGACATCCTCTAAGCTAAACACTGTCCGTTACGATTGCATTTTTTTAAGATAAATTTATAAAGAGTTTCTCTCAGTGCTTTAGTAATGCTATTAGTGCTTCTGTCCAAACGTTTCTATCAGTTTTCTTATTATTAATGTGTTTTTATTCACAGATTTAGATTAATTGATGGACCATAAAGAACCAATTGAACTAAAGAGTTAGCTCATCCTACTTTAGGGCTTCTGAATAATGTGCTCTCTGTCACTTAACATATACTTACAGTGATTATAATGTACGTTACAGGGTTCTATTATTATATCGAAGATTAATGATTACTTTATCAGTCAGATAGCAATAGAGAATAACCATTATCGGTCAACAGTATTCTCATCGCAAAAGCAAAATGTATTAGTTTTAGTATAATTTACGGTTGCTGATACTAACTTCGAAGGAGTCAGAAAATTAAGACGAGAAGGTTACCAAGTCCTCCCAGTTTTTATATTTTCTTAACTAAAATAAATCTTTGGTGAAAAATATTTACAAACTGTGTAAATTTCTGCACACTACTTTTCTAAGTATTGGACTAACACACCAAATCCGTAAGAAAAAATTGGACTAACATCCGCTTGTACGTACATATTCCTACTCGTTTTTGCAGTGATAATAACAAAACTTAAATGACTGTTTGGTTAACCAATATTGTCCAAAGATTTGTTTTGATTACGTTATTGTAACTTGGGCATAAAATTTCATCATCAGTGTACTTTGTGCGTAATTATTCAGTTACATTTTATTGCTTTATTTTAATTAAGACAATAAATCCTAGAACTTCAACGATGATATGTTTTTCTATGAGATCGTTTACAAAATTGTATAGTCGCACGTAAATATCAAGTTACCAGCCTAGAAATAGTTAATATCCCTGATACGATAGAGGTAGAATGAGTTACTATACTACCAAATAAAAAGTTTGTAAGTTTTTCATCATTTCATTTAATACCCTGTTTCTGTGAAGTCAGATGGGTTAGTGGTTGATTGGGATGTATTCCTTATCTTATTCACAAAGTCCTACCAGTATAACAGAACATATAACCCTATACAACAATCGTATTCTTTATACCACTATTAGTAAGGTTTCAGCTATCTCAATAGATATTG